TTAAAAAAATATTTTTAAATATTAACCTTTTTATGGAACTCACATGTGAAATTTTGTTCATGCGGAAAATGTAGATTTCGCTCATCGAAAAAATGCCCATAATTTGTCAATTGTAAAAACGTGACATTTCCTCAAGCAAACGTTTGTAAATTGAGGCATACCTTTACATATTACTATAACCAATTATTTTCAAAGAACTTGATACATATATCTAGAGGTAATATTTTTTACATGATCTGTATTTAAATTGATACTGGAATCATCATTTGCAAGTTGTGAATACATCAGTCATGTTACTAGTGTGTTATAACTGTGTCGGGAAGCCACCAGATTGCTGTTAAGTTGTACGAGGGAAACTTCTACTCACGTGGTCTGGGTATTAACCTTTAACAATTTTAGTGTTAAATGTAAACAGGTAAAATGTGTAATACTTACATAACGATAATTAATCGTATTTGGCAGTTAAAATGCAAACATTACTGATATATTCTTGCTTTGTACATTTTCTAAAGAATATATATTTTGAAACTCGGTGTGCAAAGTACAAACATGTATGGTATTTTGTTAAGGTTCATCTTTTGTGAGGGTGAAGAATAAGGCTTTACTCTCTTTAGGAACACGCAATTGCAGGAGTTGCTTTTGACACCAGGCTGCTAGTAAAGAGGCATGGCCACGTATCAGAATCAGAATATTGATACTGCAGAAATCCGATGACCTATAAAGCTCTTTTTTCACAGATGTACAATAGAGGCAGTTCAGAACGTTACAACAAATACAAAGAACACGACCGGAGTGCACGGTATAGCAAAAGTAAATAAATCACTTAAAAAACTTTCAAATAAATCAAAACTATTTTGATAATTGTTTTTTTACCCTTTTATCTGGCAACAAAACTGACACCTTGTTAACAAGGAGTCATGTTTGCATAGACCACAAAACCTGCGGTCAGAATGCAAACCAACGGTGTAAATGCTTACCCCGAGCTCTCATACTCTGAAGGTGCATTGTTTTTGAGTTGTGCGCCTTTTGGCGTCATCTGGTTCAACACCATGTGAGACTAGGCTCTAAGAAAAGCTGTCTCGAGTGTGGACCAATCAATTTAAAGGACAGTGCATACATTATCAGAGTTGTGTTTTTGTCTGCATTCTGACCGCAGGTATTATGGTCAATGCAAACATGACTCCTTGTAAAAAAAAGGTGTCAGTTTTGTTGTCAGATAAAACTGTAAAAAAACAATTATCATATTTGGCTACTGGCAAAGGAGGTTCCAATGGTGTAAATGCTTACCCCGAGCTCTCATACTCTGATGGTGCATTGTCTTTGAGTTGTGCGCCTTTTGGCGTCATCTGGTTCAACACCATGTGAGACTAGGCTCTAAGAAAAGCTGTCTCGGGTGTGGACCAATCAATTTCAAGGACAGTGCATACATTATCAGAGTTGTGTTTTGTTTGCATTCTGACCGCAGGTATTGTGGTCAATGCAAACATGACTCCTTGTAAAAAAGGTGTCGGTTTTGTTGCCAGATAAAAGGGTAAAGAAAACAATTATCATATACAATGTTCACACACATAAGTCTCACACTCATAAATACACAACATACTCTTTGACCTCTGCTATTAGAGGCTATATTTGATTGAGCCATATTAATGACTGCATTAACGACTCAATTAGGACCACCAAAGATGCTGATATTTAGTACAATTTAAATTACACGATAATTTGTGCTTAATAAAAAATATATATCTCCATGAAAATAGAGCTATTTTTACGTGTTTTCTTATCCAAGACAATGGGGATGTAATAATGTACAGCCCTTTGTCAATACACTACTCTGGTGGGTGAAGGCCTCCCACATAATTGAATTATGGGGAGCATACATTTCGATTTAAAGCTTTCGTGACTGCAGGGATTCATCTTCTTGGTTCTTTCGGTAAAGTCACGTAGAATGGAAGTAATAAAATAATAAAAATAAAACATAATAAAAGAATAATATAATATAATAATATATTTTATTATGTTCATGCTTTTGTTTCTGTTATCGAGATTTAACAAATGTCTTCGAACGTCACTGTGAATATACTTGGTGAGGAGGTTCCAATTGTCACACGTCAAAATGTTAACACTGCCATTCGAATTATTAAAGAGAGAGGAGCATCTGGATCACATGGAATGATTGCGGGCATCATACAAGAAGTAGGACGAGCAGACGCATTCGCTAAATGTTAACATAGAAATGAAATACAGACGTGTCTCACTTAACGAGCGAGATACGTTCCGTGAAAATTGCTCGGTAAGCGAAAACTTGTTAAACCATCGTGTTCCCACACAAATGAAAAACCACAGTGCAAACCACAGCCTTCATAGACTGTTTGGGGGAAGTGCTGTTAGTGACCACCTATAAAGGTCGGTATTGCACGCGAGGGGGTGAGTGGCCATCACAACGCCCGGCCGCCTTTGTCTCACGAGCGGCGATGTTTACACACCGGACTGGATACTCATTTGAGGCTGAGTCGACCTAGTAGAGGCCCTGGACCGGTTCAGATCTAATCGTCACCTGGTGTTGGCCGTGAGCGGGAATCGAACTCGAGTGGCCGGGTTTGTAGCGCCGCGCGCTCACCACTACCCAGTGCCGGATTATTCTAGCAGCAAGAGTAGCTACATATGCTGCTTTCAAGCTATCAATTCCGGTTCAGTGATTCTGCACTTGCTCTATTACTATAGTACTATACCGCCTTCAACTTTTATGAACGACTGGGTGTTTAAGGTTAGCGATTTGTCTTATTATCTGGCTGTATAGCAAATGAAAAAATACAATTACTTTATCTTCTTGGTTCTTTCGGTAAAGTCACGTAGAAGGGAAATAATAAAATAATTATCGCGACGTTTCGGCCACAATGCAAGCAGCCGTCCTCAGGTGAAGAACAGGTCTGTCGGAAAGACAGAGTCCGAATGAAACACCACCAGGCTTGGAGCGTATATTTTAGCTGGGTTTTTTTAATGTAAAATTTATTTTATTATTTCCCAGCTACCACCATATCTGCATTTTCCATAAATATGCTAAATTCCTCTTGATATGCAAATGATTTTGTCAAGGCGCTCTTCCCCCTCCAACCCAGCTAAAATATACGCTCCAAGCCTGGTGGTGTTTCATTCAGACGCTGTCTTTCCGACAGACCTGTTCTTCACCTGAAGACGGCTGCTTGTGTTGTGGCCGAAACGTCGTGAGAATGATTTTATTATGTTTTATTTTAATTTTATTATTTCCCTTCTACGTGACGTTACCGAAAGAACCAAGAAGATTAGCTACCACCGTCTTTAATTATTTCCCTTGGGTGTGCTCCCGTGACCCCGTGTGTCCCTTGCATCGCCTTGGGTGTGGTCCCGTGACCCCCCGCCCCACATCTAACCCCACGTGACCCCCCGCACAATGGGTCAAAGCAGCTACGCCGACGTTGCATTAGAAACGCAACAAAATAAAAACCAGACGATGAGCCAGGGGGAGAGTGAACAACAACACGTGGACAAGCAGAAAAGAAACGTGAAATGATTCTCGTGGATGCAGTAAATACAGGAACGGGATGCATGTATCAACAGGAGTGATCACTCAGCACAGTGTAATAAATGGGGCCCCATTCTCATCCTTGGAGCAGCTTTTGGCTGTCCATCGAACAATGACCAGTCACCACAAACCCGCACCTTCAGAGGCGCCTTCGCGGCCGTCTGGAACGCTCTCCCTTCCGATATTAGGGAGCCACTGGAGCTGTGCACTTTTAAATAAATCCAGATTGACAAAACTAATTTCTTTTAGAACTGCTTTTGTGTTTAGTTTGTTGTCCTTTCCCTTGCATCTGCGATGAGCACGGTCGGCTACCGTGCTCATCGTTGCGAAATAACTTCAACGTATCGTACATTGGAGAAGGTTCACCAACGGGAAATGCTGAACAGTTGTTGCTCTTCCTGTTGCGTCCGACGCCAACCCCCCACCCCCGACTCCCCCATGTGCCCTCTGTGTATCTTCAGAGCTGAGTGGACATTTACAATTTGTGAGCGACTGTTTTTGGTTTGCATCGCGTACTGACTGCAAAAGTTGCCCCATTAAACTATTTTTGGAGCAGTGGCAACGATTCACCTTCTTCATCTTCATGCCTTTGCTCTGAAACATGCACATGAATAGCATTGGCAATGCAAAGAATACAACATTTCCCGTGACTTGGCATACGCAAATTAAAAAATTTTTATCAAATAATTGTTGTGAATGACTCTGCACGGCTGGCTACGTACATGTGGTAATTAAGTTCAACATACATACATAGAAAGTATTTAGTCATTTCATTGTTAGTCCTTTTGCGAACCTGTGTGTGACCCGAACACCAGAATCCGTTCAGGACAGGTCATCGTGCAGTGCACGACTATACTGTACTGTAACTCAACGTTACATGTTGCATGGATGGGGAGCAAAGCCTTGGTTGCCAAAGTGTATGTGTGGTGCTACACTCTGAGGATAGCACGCCAGACCTTCTCCCCACCTATACTCTCCCTTGAGGATAAGGGGCCGTCCATAAATGACATCACGCGATTTTGCACGATTTTTGCCCCCCCCCCTTGTCACACGGCGTCACAAAAAGTCAGACCCCCCCTCAAATATGACGTCACAAAGCTCTGCCCCCCCCCCCCCACCAAAAAAAACATGCTTCAAATCGCTTTATTTAATTAAGAAGAACGTGTTGTCTATATTTATTTCAAGTTGCGCATTTTGATGTGACGTCACATTTCTCACTCCCCCCCCCCCTTCGTCACACATCGTCTGACCCCCCCCCCCCCCCAGGTGCGTGACGTCATTTATGGACGGCCCCTAACCCTCTACCCTCGAGCTAGCTGCTCGACCCATTAATTTAAGAATCCGGGTCACAGCCAATGCCCTCTGCTGGGGTGGATTTGAATCGATCCCAAGGTTCAATTGTGGATAGACCATGAGTCATTTAAGTTATTTGGCCATAGATGTGCGATGTGCGTGAAGCTAAAACTAGGAAAACTTACCTCTCTGATATGGAAATACCAAATACGTGATAAGTTTCCATAAATGAATCCATTGCCTCCCGGAGCCTAATGAAATAAACGAAGATGAAAACGAATTCACAATATATTCAAGATACGCTAAAGGCAAACGAAACTAGAAATTGCCAATTGACATTAGTGCTACAGGTGAGAGGTCTCTGAACAAATAAATGTAAAAAGTAGAATAACATTCTTTTTTTACATACCTCCTGTGTGTTTACCAGTTTAAAGTTATAACTGCAGCACTGCACAGGCAGTACCAATATAACCGTGGAAATTAACGAAACGTGCTCTCAACAAGTGAGTATCTGATCATTATAGTGACACTGTCCAGGTTTTAAACAGTGTTCGTGTCCCGGGGAATTAAGGAGTTGTCTGTGAAGTGCAATCGACCACTCACGTCACTTTATGTATTGCACGGGTTTCTATGGGTTTACGAGTTGCTACGTGAGTCTACGAGTCGATTGAGAATCTCCTCTGCAAGTGGAGAATTTGTTGAGCCACCTCATAGGGACTGCGGGGAAGTGCAATCCATCCCTCACATTGTTGATTATTGCCCAAAGCATGCTGGGAGGTACACGGGAAACCGTCTGGTGACCCCAGACGCCATGGGATGGCATAAGAATAGGTTTAAACCTTTCTGGCAATAAAACAGGCGTTACGATGTTAACACACCAAACAGAAACCTTTTTTTGCAAGGAATCATGTCTGCATTAACCACATACACTTGTGGTGAACATGCAAAAAAAGCATGCTCTGGTAGTATATGGCATTGTCTTTGAAACTGATTGGTCCACACCAGAGACAGCTTTCTTTAGAGCCTAGTCTCAGTGTTAGACCAGAGGACGCCAAAAGGCGAACAGCACAAAGACAACGCCACTCTCAGGACATGGAGAGCTCGGGGTGAGCAGCTTTATTGCCAGAAGGGGTAAAATGTATTCTTATATTTTGATACTGGAGTTCTCATGATGTAGCTGCTCACCATCGAATAGCTTTCCAAACTCAACACACGCCTATGAACTCGTGAATTGCTCTCAAGTCCCGCGTGCCTTCGCATATATTACAAAAGTGAGGCATTTATCGCCAGTTCGCAAGTCCCCGCCATTCGTACCAAATTGCAAATTTGAGGAGTTTAGTCCCCTTGGAACTTTAGGAGTTTTTTTTTGCAGACCAAACCACAGTGGCACCGCGGACTTTAGGGATTCACAGACTTTAGAAACGGCTCTGTGGCTAAATGGGCTGACGTCCACTCGCGTAACATTGACTAAATATGTATTTAATTAATGAGTATGTTTTCTTTGCGTATATAGTGCTCTAAACTGTGTGACAGTCACATGTAAAGGCATGAGCAAAAAAAAGCAGACTTTAGAGAAGTGCTGATTTTTAGATGCATGCAGATCAGTCCACAGTTAGATTGCGTAAATATAAATGTGTGGTTAAACCCGCCACCACCCGACACAGCCAATTAGTAAGGTTTGTCATGTGAACAAAACATGGCAATTCGTTACTAGTACAGCAACATCGGTGTGTTGGAGAGTAAAACCCACAATATTTACAATTCTCTCCAACACATCGGTGTGCTGTACTCGTCAATAATTGGCATGTTCTGTTTACGTGACAGACTTTACTGACCGGCCGTGTCGGGTGGTGTTGAGTTTAACGATACACATTTACGCGATCGAACCCAACATCCACTATTAAGGTTAATATTGGTTGTGAATGCCTACGTGTTAAACTCAGTCCACAGTCTTACCTGATCTTGTTTCGTCTGCCTCTGGTTCCAAAGAAGGACCTGTATCACCTTCAAAGCATAATAGAGCATATTCTGATGAGTTTTGAGAAGTTTTAACATGAATGCAATGTAATTTGTTTATGGCCAATGTTATGTTTAATTGGGTAAAAAGCGTAACATTAAACCGACTGCATAAGTGGTAAATTCCACAGCGGTGGAATGATAATGTGGATCAGAGAATGTGGCAATATTTGACATCAACATTATTTTGTCTTTATAGTCTACAATCGCCCAAGTACTTTTATATCAATGTAATGTATATGCAATATTATATAATATAATGATGTTATTTTTTAATATTATATAATTCACTGCTGGATGAGGGCCTTCCCACACTTTCTCAGCCATGAGGGGTTGTTTGACCATACTTCACCTCGCTGGTCAGTGACGGGTTGGAGGAGGGAGGAGGTGTGGGCTGAGGCCTGGTTCAGATCTAACTCGTCAATCATGTCAGCCATGGCCAGGACTCAGGTTGCCGACTCCATTTCCCAGTATGCTAACCACTGCGCCACCACTCAATCATTTCTCCAGAATGACGCCAATTATTATTTTGTGTCCTGTATACACACTGCAGTATTGTACGTATATGCACATTATATACAGTTCATTTTATTTTAACATTTTTGGTGACCCGGTTCACTCTTGCAAATGAGACTATTCCTGTCTCTTTGAGTTCTCACTTGGTTAAAATTAAATCAACTCGCTAAAGTAAAGGGAGTGTAACAATGCATCTATACATTCATTCATCGATTAATATTGATTTTTAAGCTCACCGTGCATGCATCGAATTGTGTGTAAGAATATATTTTTGATGTGTACGTTGCAGGTGCATGCGATCCATACATCACTGTGACCACTGCGTTGGCTATATAGATGACAAAAATGAATCTTACAGTGTTTATGACAATGTACGTGTAATGACAGTCGAGTCTACATGTGGTGTGAGTCGACTAGTGGCCACGGGAGGTAATGACCGGGGAGTCAGCCTACAGTGCAAATGCACTAGTGGCCACAGGAGGTAATGACAGGAGAGTCAGCTGTGAGTACGAAGGGACTGGTGGCTATGGGAATGATCGAGAAGGGAGCGTGGTCAAGTGACGGAAGAGGACGGTGGAGTCAGCTGGTGGAGCGGGCGTCCAGAGTCAGCGAGAAGGTTCGGGAAGGGGGGCGTGGCCTCGGTCGGTATAAAAGGGGGAGATGCGCGGGAGACTCGGGGCTGTTGCAGTGGGGGTCTCCGACTGGTGTCAAGTGAACGTGTCTTCAATGAAGTGACATCTCAAGAGAAGTGTGTCAAGTCGTCATGTTGAACTTCTTTCGCACCGTATGTAGCCAACCGTGCTAATCGGAGGTGAAATTAATTGCATTTCCAGGTTGGGAGGGGGTAAGGTTTTCACCTTAACTGCAAAGTACAGCATAATTCAGACAACCCACAATAACATGCGGGAATCTACTTGCGGATCCTATCATCTGTGCTGTACCGCAAAGGTTAATCCTGAAATATGCCATGAAAATGTCATACCAGGACATCGTCACTAATATTCACCGTGGCCCGGAACTAAACTCAGGTTGCCGGGGCAGTGTGCAGAGCAGGAATCGGCCATACGACTCCATTCATTCCCTCTGAAATCACGGACATAGGGCTTTAGTGCAAAACGTGACTTTTGCGAATTTATTAATCAGCCAAAATATATTAATTTTGCATCGTTTCCTGAGATTCAAATGTATAAATCTGCCTATGGGTCTATGTGAAATAAAATGTTGCATTGTCGGGAGTTGATATGGGAGTCAAAAGGATGGAAACATATTACGACTCAACAGATCATGTCAGTACAGTCTGACATTTAGCAAAATAAAATTTAAATGTGATTTCAAATATACCACGATTCGTCTCTCTGCAACTTCGCTTGTCCCTATAACAGCTCTGTTGGTTTCTTAGCAGCTAAGTCCCTCTCAAAACACAGAGTCCGTGTTGCATTTACAGAAAAAGCCTCGCTATGCTAAGAGAGATGAGTCTGAAAATCTCGTTCTCTGTCTCTGTGCATGGCTCTTTGAAGAGAGTGCTTTTCTTTTGATATTAAAGCCCCAGGCCGGCTCGTGTGAAGCTTTGAAAGAGTCACCGCTGCACAAGGCGAAGAAGTCGGCCGGCGTCTTTGAGGAGTGCAACGCTTCACGAAATGAAAATCCGCGGCGCATATTTATGGGAGGAATTAGCCACTCCCGAATGGTATCCAAAAAAATATATACGTGGTAAAATTGCAGATTTCAGGATCTCTGCCCCCACGGATTAATGAAAGTCGCTGCTAACCGTAGGGGCGTCAAATCGTTGGAGTGCGGAATATTGGTGTTCTACTGTCAATGTATACTGGGGTGGAGTGGTAGCACTGTGGTTTGTGCACTGCCATATGGACCCAGGTACATGGCTTTAACCAAGCTTCACCACTGACCAGCATTATATAAACGGAGTGGTAGCTCCTGCAATCTCTCATTTACTTGATACAGCTGTCGTGGCTGTGACGGTACCACCTGAAGACGGAAGCTTGTGTTGCCTCCGAAACGTCGTGATTTTTATTTTATTTTACTTTTTTATGTTTTTACCTACGTGACTTTACCGAAAAAAACCTAAGAATATAACAGTCTTTAAGACTGCACAGAGTGGAGAGGCTTTCATCCTGCAGTGGATTGACAAGGGCTGTATACTACTATTGTTGTCATTATAAATTATTGTACGTGTATTACTGCATTCGTATACTGGTACCTTTGTTTTTAAACTCCGTGTGAAAAATGTTCCCAATTTCACTTCCTCTCTCTTCACGTGACGGAATAATAGTTATGCTTTTGCATTCGGCCAGACATCCAGTCACGGCTTGTGACAGCGCGGTGATGTCCTGATTATCCACGAGAGCGACTCCTACATTGAGGTCCACTGTTACATTCTGCAGACACTCCATGCATTCTGGAACGTGATTCAGTACATAGTGTAGATCTTTCAAGATCGCATGATCAGTTAAGTGGCCACAGGTAAGCATTAGATTTTGTTGACTAAAAATGTCCTTGCACGTATTCTTCAGTTTGTCTTTTGACCGAGACTCACGGATGATCTTGCAGCAGAAGAGAATGATTTCGGACTTTTTCGGGACCTGTTTTTCCTCTTTTAAAGCAACGAAAAGGTACTTCAGGATGACATTTGAAACAGTGACTGAGGAGGAACTGGCAAAAAGTAGTAGCTTTTCATTTTGCTTCGAATTTCCCTGTGGGATAAGGGACTTAAGTTTTCTCCTTGCCCATCTTTTCCTACAAAATCCTCCAGATGTCAGGACATGTTTAAGATACCCACCCATGAGACGTTCTGGATTGGTAGTCGAGTATATTTCAGTTCCACTACCTAGCTGGCTTTCATCTATTACATTCAGTTCTATTGCATGCTCAATTTTGACGTTTTTCAAGTCATCTTTCCTGAATGGGCCTGTGGTGCCATGTTCTATATAACGTTTCAATGTGGATTTTCCAACGTTATTGCAAAGTTTTTCGTATTCCTTCATGTTGAGAAGCAGGTTATTTGTCATAAAGCATTCCTGCCCCTTGCGAATCGTTGTTGAATCATAGTGTATCACCGTACCATTTTCAATAAACTTCTCGTGAAGAATGTTGAATTTAGTTTCCCCATCTTCAGTGACTCTGAGGATAGTTATGTGTTTGCAGTCGGACAGTTTCTCCGTTACTTCTTTAGATATTTTCACAATTTTCTGGTTGTCAGCAAGAGGGGCATCTTCGGTGAGGTCTAACGTTACTTCGTGCAGGCACCTCACACATTCGGGAATGTGGGTCAGCGTCAGTGGCGGCTGGTGATATTTATTTTTGGGGGGGCGCATTTTTTAAATTTTATTGAGGGGGGCAAATAAATATAAAGCAGTACCAAAAGCCATTTTGACTACTTGAATATAAATTTTGATGATCTTTATTTACATTTCAGACCAAAAGAAGTACCAAAAAGCATGTTTCCTACTTGAACATAAATGTTTCTCTTTTATATACATTTCAGACCAAAGTACCAAAAAGCATGTTTCCTACTTGAACATAAATGTTTCTCTTTTATATACATTTCAGACCAAAGTACCAAAAAGCATGTTTCCTACTTGAACATAAAAACGTTAGTTTCATGCTATTATCAATATGGCTGCGGCTACTTTCATGACGTTTGCATTTGTCAGAGAGATGTTTGAGGTCTCTTACCCCCGTCGTTGTCCACAAAACTTCAGTGCCGACACTTTGAAATAAAAGACAGGGAAAACAAAAAAGAGAATTGCTAACATCACATCCAGCCAGCCACCTCCGTTTCTCATAACAAGCGCGGGTGAAGCTTCGTGTGTAGCTTCGTCCTCTGTCACTGGCCTGCTGCTGGATTTGTAAATCGGGTTGGTCCGGTCCGAGATCCTTTATCTTTTTTATTTCTTCCAGCGAAAGCCTTGTGAAAGGGTTTTTTTGTAAATAAATTACAGAATTTGGATGAACTGCTGCCATTGTTTACACAAAAATTTTGATCAGCCTAGCAAGTGTCAAAGTGGTGTCGCCTTCGCACTCGCAGTAGTGGCCTACAGCGTAAATTTGAATGACAGGTGACGAGAACCAATCAGATTGGATAAAATAACATGTATCCAATTCTGATTGGCCAGGGACGCAACGACTTGCGCCCCGAGGAGAATCTTTAAGAAACCAATTAGAGACCAGCTTCAGGTCACATGCTGTCCGAAAATGTAAAGTCTCACATAGACATCCATTTGTCCGGCGCCCCGCATAAAACACATTGAAAAACATAGAAAATAGTTGACCGATTAAAGCCAGTTTTTATTAAATGCTGATGCTTTTCTTACTACCAGCCGGCACATCGTATGAAAAAAATATTTTATTTATGTATTTTTATATAAATTTTGTATATGTATATTTCTGGAATATTGATGGGGGCGGCGCCCCTGCGCCCTCTATTGACGAGCCGCCACTGGTCAGCGTATACCAAATGGCCCGAATCAATTCGCTATTGAGGTGCCCATAAGTAAGCTGTAGCTTTTGCTTATTGAAAATCTTCTGGCACAGTGCCTTTATTTTCCCCTTTGACTGGGACTCGTAGATAACTTGGCAGCAGAAGAGCAGAATGTCGGTCTTCTTTGTCTCCTCGTGCTCATGTTTTAATACGCGAAGGAGCTTCTCCAAAATTACTTTCAAAGCTTTATCAGAGGCACTGGCGAAGAGCAGTAGTTTTTTATTTTCTGTCACATTTTCCTGAGAAATAAGAGATTGGATTTTCCTTTCTGTTGATTTAGCAACATTTTGGTCGGAAGACAAAACATGTTCAAGGTACCTGCCTGCAAGATACTCGGAGCTAATAATGGAGTATTTTTGCTCCTGTTTATTAAATGGATTCCCTTCTTCTCGTATTAGATCGAGTTTCAGTGAATGATCAATATTCACATCCTTAAAATCATCTCTGTTGAATTTTTGCCTTTTTTCCAAAATACCTTCGAATGCAATTTTTCCAATATCATTGCAGAGCTCTCGTTGCTCCTTATTCGAAAGAGAGAGGTTATACTTTTGAATGTACTGTTGAATCTTGTGACTTATCATTAAGTCATAGGCATTGGTCTGTGGTTTCCTCTCTGAAAGATCATGATCTTCATCTTTAAGGATTAGACCTAACAATGTTGCATTGAAAGGCCTTTTGATTAGCTCATCTAAGAGGTCTTGACACAGATAGTGGTTGATCTGTTTCTTGGCAGTGTCAATATCAAGAGAAGATGATGACATCACTTTTACAATCAGCAGCTGTGAATCGTCACGACTCAAACTATCCACGTGAATCTTCTTCTCTGCAAACAATTCAACGTCACGGACTCTCCATGGCCTCGAGTTGAGGATAATGCGGCTTTTAGGAAGGTAATTTTGCCTGATGAGATTAGAAATGTTGCCTTCTGCTGATTGCTTCTCCATGTGTGGGTACTCATCATACCCATCCAAAATAAACAGTGTCTCCTCTTCAACCGATTCTATAGCTTGAATTATCTCATCTTCCGTTAGCTCTTGTTTTATTGGAAGGAGCTGTTTCCTAATCGTGCAACCAAGAGTCTCGCCTTTAGAAATTTCACGGAGATTGAGGTGTATAACCAATTTATACTCTTCCAACTTTCCCTCTGCCCACGTGGCGGCAATTTGTTTGCAATTTGTAGTTTTCCCTGCGCCAGCTTCCCCGAGAATGATGGTCAGTCTACTCGTATTGTCACGTACAAACTCTTTCACGTTCGAGTAATTCGTCCCGTTGCCTGAACCATCATGTGTTTTTTCACACAAAGTCAAATCCATATAGACGGTCTGTGTGTCCATTATCATCTCACTGTGGCATTCTCTTCGATAGTAGGTCTTATTATACGCGCATTCCAAAATATGTTTTAGCCTTTGAGCATTCTCTGCAAATACAGCATTCATCATTTGAACATTATGAGCATCACGTCACAAGCACTTCGCAAATATAACATGCTAGGTTGAGTTATTTAAAATTTAAAACGCAACATTCTCATTTCATTTTCTTAACCAGTCATTCGCGCTACCTGAAACATTCTCAGGGCTCTCTTAACAGTGGGCGGGGCTACTCGAGTTATGGGCGTGGTTACAAGAGTCGTGGGGGGGTTAGCCAAGTAGTGGGCGGGGCCTATCCTGGTAGTGGGCGGGGCTACCCAAGTAGTGAGCGGGGCCTATCCTGATAGTGGGCGGGGCTACCCAAGTAGTAGGCGGGGCTATCTGGCTAGTAGGCGGGGCTACCCAAGTAGTGGGCGGGGCTACCCAAGTAGTGAGCGGGGCTACCCAAGTAGTAGGCGGGGCTACCCAAGTAGTAGGCGGGGCTACCCAAGTAGTGGGCGGGGCTACCCAAGTAGTAGGCAGGGGCTACCCAAGTAGTAGGCGGGGCTACCCACGTAGTAGGCGGGGCTACCCAAGTAGTGGGCGGGGCTACCCAAGTAGTAGGCGGGGCTATCTGGTTAGTAGGCGGGGCTACCTGAGTAGTGGGTGGGGCTACCAGAGTAGTGGGAGGGGCTACCTGAGTAGTGGGCGGGGCTACCCAAGTAGTAGGCGGGGCTATCTGGTTAGTAGGCGGGGCTATCTGGTTAGTAGGCGGGGCTACCTGAGTAGTGGGCGGTGTTACCTGAGTAGCGGGTAAGTCTTGACTTAAAGCTTTCGTGACTGCAGGAATTCATATTATTTTGGGTCTTTCGGTAAAGTCACGTTATATTTTTATTATTTTATTATCTCCCTTCTCCGTGACTTTACCGAAAGAACCAAGAAGATGAATCCCTGCAGTCACGAAAGCTTTAAATCGAAAAATTCACGTAGATAGGTTCAAAGAAAATAACAAAAAAACTACGATGTTTCGATCTTTCGGCTCTCCAATTTTACACTAACAGGTTTTATTTCTCACACTTACACAGCCACCTTCGTGCGCCGACCTAGAGGTTGCGGCTCTGCGATCTCCATTAACATGCTAATCTTTCACATTAACATGCTAATCTTTCACATTAACATAGCCACCTCAGCGCGCTCGCCGTGGAGGCCGCTCACCGATCTTACATTAACATGCTAATTTTTACCTGGCAGCCCTTCAATTCTAGATTTGAAGCTTTCGTGACTGCAAGGATTCATATTCTTAGGTTTTTTTGGTAAAGTCACGTAGGTAAAAAGAAATAATAAAATAAACATAATAGAAATAAAATTATTATTATTATAATTTTATTTCTATTATTTTTATTTTATTTTTTATTTTTACCTACGTGACTTTACCGAAAAAACATAAGAGCATGAGCCCTTCAATTGGTGTAAAACCCACCACCGTCGCGGTCGCTGCCCAACACCTACATTAACATCAGCTGCTCCGCCCATGCTGCTGACACTTGGGCTACGCCCATTTTAAACCTCTATAAACAGTTTGCCCTTAGAAGCTAACCCCCTTTTCCTGATGACGACCGCTTGTGTTGCGATCGAAACGTTGTAGTTTTTTGTTATTTTCTTTGAACCTACCTACGTGACTTTACCGAAAGACCCAACAGAATGAGTTGCCTGAGCAGTTTAACACGTAGTTATCGTTGTAGTAGAGCTTTCGCGACCAATATTATCCATAATAGAGGTGTTTTGGGTTAGATCGCGTAAATATAAAAGTGTCGTTAAGGCGCACAGCCTGATGATGCTGGTTGTAATTACTCGCGAAAAGTCGTACTCGAATTGTTAATGTTGTGAGTTTACTCTCTAACACACCGGGTGTGCTGAACTAGTAACGAATTCATCTTCTTGGTTCTTTCGGTAAAGTCACGTAGAAGGGAAATAATAACATAATGATAATAAAAACATAATACAAAAGATATATAGTCAATGCCAGTGAGTGGACTGCGGTCTGAAAGACACCGTAAATGTGAGGTTAGTGTAAATGTGATTGATATTGCATTAGAGTCGCGGCATCTCTTCAGAAAGGTGAGAGACTCGATTACACTAACCTCACGTTTACGGTGACTTTCAGACCGCAGTCCACTCACTGGCATTGACTAAATATCTTTTCATCTTCTTGGTTCTTTTGGTAAAGTCACGTAGAATGGAAACAATAAAAATAATAAAATAAAACATAATAAAATCATTCTCACGACGTTTCGGCCACAACGCAAGCAGCCGTCATCAGGTGAAGACCAGGTCTGTCGGGGAGACAGCGTTGCGGCCGAAACGTCATGAGAATTATTTTATTATGTTTTATTTTATAATTTTTATTGTTTCCATTCTACGTGACTTTACCGAAAGAACCAAGAAGCTGAATCCCTGCAGTCACGAAAGCTTTAAATCGAAATTTAAATATCTTTTGTATTGTTATATTTTATTTTTATTTCCCTTCGACGTGACTTTACCGAAAGAACCAAGAAGATGAATCCCTGCAGTCACGAAAGCTTTAAATCGAAAAATAGTAACGAATTGGCATGTTTTTTTTTTGTTAACGTGACAAACCTTACGAATTGGCTGTGTCGGGTGGTGACGGGTTTAACGACGCATTTATATGTTGACAGTTACCTGGGCAGTGGGTGGGGCCCTATGACCAGTGGGCGGGGACCGATGCTCAGTGGGTGGGGCAAGAGGCATAGTAGGCGTGGCTCTTGAAAAGTAGGCGGGGCTTATGGAGGGGGGCGGCCGTCAGCTTGCCACGTGTCCCAGTTTAGCTTCCCGGAAATTTGGTAGATTTGAATTTCAGTGGCAATTGGAACTAACCCTATATGGCAGGAACCATGACAAGTGATTTTTGTTCTCGCTTGATATCACCACGAAAGTTCGTTTCGTTGTACGCACCACTTTCGATCGAAGTGGGTCATGAGTAACGAGTTAATAAACACATTGTTTGGACATTTGTAAAATTACATATATAGCAGGTTTTCAAACTGTTGTTAAGTCGTCGATGGTGACATACCGTAGGTGTGTCCAAGAACGATTTCGCCTTGTCTATACTGAGGAAAAGCATGCTGAGGAAATCTCCTTTGTAAATTATTCAAAGCAACATTGACAAATTGCTTAATCTGATCGTTTGCTTTTCCACTGATTTTGTCAATAAGTTGATTGATGCGCTGGCTCGGCTTCGTCACACTCTTCAGGTCTCTGTATTCGCGCTTTGTTATTATATTCAATGACTCTACTTCATTTAAAACCTCGTCTGGTATCTTCATGAGTTCTTCAATGAGATTACACTTATTTCTTTGCAAGAACTCATTTTCATTATTTTCCACTGTGTCTGTGATTTTGTGGATTTCTTAAAGGACAAAACAAATGTTAAAACATTTCAGAGAGATACGTTAACAGTGTGTGTCAATGTGATTGTAAACATGTCACACGACTTCTTTGCATACTCAAAAGTGTCGGAGTGCAACAATTAAAACATGCAGTGGGTGATTTATACAATGCTTTAATATACAATTTAAATGCATGGGCTGAGTTTGGTCGGGGAGGGGGGCAATGCCCCCCCCCGAACTGGACACCTTTATAAATGTATTTTCAGTAGTTTACAATGAAGATGCAAAACATTAATTATTTAATTACTTGCACCCGCGATTCCTCATCTGAGGGACAAAGTGAACCCCTGCTTCCCCCAGTAGAGGAGTCAACCTCCGCCTATGATTAAACGTATTATTTCAAAGGTCCACGTGAGTTACTGCTGAAATGAGCATTAAGACAGTGCTCATGTCCTGTTAACAGCACTGAGCCAGTGGTGGAAACTCCACATTCCTATTGCTGAGCAAATGTATCCAAAGGATAGCCACTATTGACTTCCCCACAAAGCGGTAAATATTTTAACGACCCCATGAAAATGATGGGCTGAGTCAATCCCCAACCAAGATTTTGAACTCGCAACCTTTCAAATGGTTGCAGGCAGCGAAGCGTGGCACCCACGTGGTCATGTCACCGCACCGATCATCTGGTCAGTATGAAAATGGACAACTCGATTTCGCATCGACTCCCTTGATGTCACGACTGGTTCTGGTGTTGGCCCAGGTGAAAGTGCACACTGCAGCCTTACCTGAGCTTGCTAGAGATCCGTAATCTCTTCGACCGGAATGCGGCTTGATGGATGGCGCCTTTTTCAAGTGACAAGCCATCTTGGTTCTAAGTGGTTTTGAAAACATTCAATCAGATTCATGACACCCTCATTGTTCGTTCTGATTGACGAGCTCAGAACACAGGAAAAACACGAGGAGACCTCCCAATACCGTATACTGTACATGCACTTGCTGACCCGCACACACTGGACATCTGCGAAAAAGAACTTCATAGCTCATCGGATTCCTCCAGTCTAAATAAAGATGGTGATTATGGATGATTGTGAATAATTCTTGTTCGTTTTAAACAAATCCCAAAGTGTAGCATTTAAAATTCTTCAGCCACGAACATATTCTTATCATGTAATGTGTATTCTGTCATACAAACCTCGTCTTGTCCTTCATAAACGTATAGACATTTTAGACCCCCATTGTTTAGCGCATACTATTATTGTTGTTTGATACTGCTAATCCTGCATAATGCATTGGCATAATGACTTTAAACCCCTCGCCAAACCTCCTACGCATTTCGCAAGTAGTACTAATCGCATATCTGCATTTCCCATAAATGCTAAATTCTTCTTGATATGCAAATTATTTTGTCAAAGCGCTCTTCGCCCCTCCATCCCAGCATAAATAGTCGCTCCAAGCCTGGGGCGTGCCATTCAGACTCTGTCTACTTGACAGACCTGTTCTCCACCTGAGGACGGCTGCTTGCGTTGTGGCCGAAACGTCGTGAGAATTATTTTATTATGTTTTATTTTATTTTATTATTTCCATTCTACGTGACTTTACCGAAAGAACCAAGAAGATACTCCAAGCTATTGACACAACATACTATCGGGTGGTGACCACCCAACTAACCACGCTACGGCGGAACTAGACACGGTTCCGCTATCCCGGTCCGGACCACGAGCTGGGTCCCGGACCGCGTGGCTGGAGGCTTCTTCAAGCTTGACGTGGATCTCCTGCCTCTCCAACAGTAAGAACCCCGAGCCCCTCTCAGGGCCCCTCCCCTTTCTCTGGCCGGGCTGGGGCTGGCTCCGCCTTTCGCCCCGCCCACCTTCTCGATCTCTCTCGCCCCCTTGCCCGAAGGCTCTCGAGAGTTCTTCCCAGACCATGTGACCACCCATTGGCCCCCTCCTCCCGGGGGCCCCCCTCCAGTATCATTCGGTCACATGTCCCCAGGTCAGCCAGAGTATCATGCCCCCAACGTAACCCCAGGTGGCTGACACCCCCTCGCTCTCTCAACGGGAGCTATGCGTGGTGCCACCGCGCTTAACCAGCGCTCACCCAAGCCCCCACTAGGGCTGGTACTACACCCCATGTCCGGGGTGTACACACAACGGTAGACATCCCGCCATGGCCTCGCAAGCCCGGCACCACACAGTGACATTCCCAGTCAATACAGATACTGTATAATAACAAATTTTATTCATAATCAACGTTTTTGGGTTTAGATCGCGTTATTTATAAATGTGTCGTAACCCTCCACCACCCGACACGGCCAATCAGTAAAAAAGTGTCACGTTGACAAAAGACAAATAGTTCACTGCTTTAGCCCACCGGTGTGTTGAAGCCACGATGATGCTGGATGCAATTACCAGCGAAATGTCGTACTCAAATTGTAAATGTTGTGGCTTCAACACACCGGTGGGCTAAAGCAGTGAACTATTTGTCTTTTGTCAACGTGACACTTTTTTACTGATTGGCCGTGTCGGGTGGTGGAGGGTTACGACACATTTATAAATAACGCGATCTAAACCCAAAAACGTTGATTATGAATAACATTGGTCGCGAAAGCCTGCTACGTGTTAAACTAACAAATTTTATGTTGTACTGCCATCTCCTGGTCATGTGGCATCTCAGGAGGCTTTTCAGTTTCACAAAGCTGCGCGTGATCCTTGATTACATGCTGGGCACGGCCAATGTGCGTCATTGGCGTATAAATCATGCACTGGATGGACTTTTAAAGACTTTACATATATTAAGAAGTGCGTACCGATGGATGTCGTGTACGCACGTTATCACCGGCAAATGTACGGAAAATAGATGCGTGGGGTGATAATTGAAAACATAAATACATCACGTTACTCTATTTAAGACTGGAAACACGAAGACTTCTTCACAAATCTGGCAAATCACCTGATGCAGCTGGTTGTAATCACCAGTGAAACGTCGTACTCAATTGTAAATGTTGTGGAATTACTCAACACACCGGTGTGCTGAAGCAGCAACGAGTGTGCACGTTTTGTTTACATGACAAACCTTATTAATTGGCTGTGTCAACTGGCGAAGCCAGTGGGGGGGGGGGGGCAATGATCCGATCGAAATCCATAATTTCGATCGGATCATTGGGGTTTATTAGTAATAAACCGGCATTTTGCGACCCCCACTGCCACTGTGTAGCATATTATTATGCGCCAGGGACTCTATGAGATGAGAGGAAAATAGTCTGATTCCATATTTGGCAATAAGTAACGGCAAAGCAGTTCTAAGTGACTCAGAATTGTGCGCAGTTGCGTTTACAGTACACGACTTCCCTGAAGCAAGGGTGGCACAGGCGGGTTTTTTTACAATCGGGTTTAATTGTCTTTTATATTCAACCCGATCATCTGAGAGTGGGAGAAATCCGGTTTAACTGGTTCTAAAAAAGAAAAACCCGATGCCTGCCGCTGGAAAAGTCGGGTGTTTTCCACCCATGCCCTGAAGGCATCACACCTTCAGCGAGCGCGATGCCGATCACACGACGCGGTTCGAATTCGACCCTCGATCGATGGCTGCACCATCGCCGCACACGCGTCGTCGAATAAAAAGCAAGAGACAAGTCCTTACTTACTAACAACTCCTCTATCATTTTTAAATCCTTTATATTAAGTTCGCTTGCTTGCGTGCTTGCTTGCTTACGACCGTGCAAATATTTCGGTTGTGTTTTAACCCACTTCCCGTGATCCAATCAAGCTGACATTTTGCACACAGACTCGTTGTGCGAGACAATTAATGTTCGTGAAATTTTTTTTTCCAAAATTTTACACTGTTTAGGGAAAACAAATTAAATATTTAATTACCAATTGCTTAATACTGGCAGACAATCATCTGACCCATAGGTGGCAGCCATCTCAAACCAGAGGACGAGAGGACTCTAGCCGCCACGCATATAAAGGATTTAGAGTGAAAAACTTTGTTTTTACGGGTTAATTTTTTTTTATTGCTGGAGGGGTTGCTCCCTCTACCTGAAAATCCTGGCTCCGCCATTGGCTGTGTCGGGTGGTGGTGGGCTAACGACACATGTACGTTTACGCGATCTAACCCAAAAAAACTTCTGAATAATATTTATGAAAGCCTACGAGTTAAACTCACAAGGTAACTTAAGGCTCTTCTCGCTTTCCCATGCTCTTTAACTAAACTAAACTTTTTTTATTTTGCCAGGTAAGTCTCACTGAGCTATACAGCTCTTTTTCAAAAGCGACCTGGCCACAAATGATAGCTCAACGAAGTGGCTTATCGCGTGGAAATGTCTAGCAGCCAAATGCTCTAAACGCATGCGTCTAAATGTGGAGGGGAAAACCGAAAGACCCGGAGAAAAATAAACACAACCACAAGGAGAACACGCAAACTCCAACTACACAGCAACAGGCGTCAGGGTCGGGATCGAACTCACGATCCTCCTGCACAGCAGGCGAGGTAGTTAGCATCTCGCCACACAACACATTCCTGCTGCGGAGGGAGCTGGTAGGAACGTTGGGTTGCTCGGTCAATGGCCAGGGTCAACGGCGGCGTGGTGTATTCTGCAAATATGGCCGACTGAGGGCGGGCACAAGCCGGCGTGAGTAGGTTAAACGTTGAGTTTTATAAGGGCACCACGGGGTGACCAGCCCCTCCCCACCCCTCCCACCCCCCATCCAGCCCCACCCTCCCCACCCAGCCCCTCCCCACCCTCCCCACCCAGCCCCTCCCCACCCAGCCCCTCCCTGCACGACGGACACAATAATCCCCTGTGGGCTGGTGTAATCAGGAGGTTCCTACCAGTATAAACCCTGATACATTTATTTGGATGGATACACATGAGTTTTCCTCTGGAGCATATATACAGTGCATATGGATCTTGGTTGTGTGTTTTTGACAGATTGTTTTCTTTCCTGTATGCCAATGCAGCATAAGCGATGCTTTGTTCCCTTTTTTTCACATCCGAAATGCTGTCAGACCGACCCGGTTCCTTGCCCTGTCATGCCCTTTGTTACATCCAGGGTCGACGACTGCACTGCAAAGCTTGTGGGGCTTTCAATGAACCTCGTATGTCGGGTCCCACCAGTTCAGATTGCTGCTCTTCCGTGCCATCATCACAATTGTCAGCCATGATCAATCCACTGCTGTATGTAGACCCCACCGAAGCCGTCAATCACCCCCACGGTTCTACGATGCAACCATCCATCTAGCGCCCTTACCCAAGGCGACTTTTCCTCGCTCCATCTCCTTGGCAAGGTGATATTCCCGACACGTTTACATTTATTCTTTCTCGCGACATTTACTATTTTATTATTACACGCTTTTTATTAACTCACTCTGTCTGTTGTTGTTGTCGTTGTTGTATCCTCAAAACTTGTAACTCAATTTTAACCCACTTCCCTATGTGGTATCGACTGCAAACTTGGTATACTTACGTCATACTGATGACAATACTATATTATATCATAAAAAAATAAACATTCTTTTTTCTATATTATGTTTCGGCTTGGGTCTAATTGTCCACGGTCAACTGACGTTGGCTGTAATTGGCCAAGGTCCCTTACGTTACGGCAAGCTTCGGGGCCACTTCCTGCAGTCCTGCCATTACTAGTACATTTAATAAAAGCGTGTTTAAAAAAATGTTAAATATTACTTACTTATTTTATTTTACCAGGTAAGGCCCACTGAGCTGTATAGCTATTTTTCAGAAGGGACCTGACTAATACAAATTATATCTCAACTAAGTGGCTTATCGTGTGGCAATTTATAACAGTCAAATACGATAATCGCATGTTTCTGCTCAAGCCCATTAAATTTTCTGAACAGTTTCAATTACGCCAT